TCTTTTCATCCATCCATCCATCTTTTCATACCATCTTTTCATCCATCCATCCATCTTTTCATCCATCCATCCATCCATCCATCCATCCATTCATCCATCCATTCATCCATTCATCCATCCATTTATTAATTTTCACCGGAACATACACTGTGAAGCAACGTGACGTCATCATGGCATCATGGAAAACAAAACACGTAGCGACATGGTCAAATTAGAAGATGCTATGTGACGTCATCTGCTTACGTCATCGGAATTAATCAGAGTCGGCATTCTGTAGCGCTGCACTGTCATGTCCTGGCCATTTGCTAATGTCAGCACTCTCTTTCTTTCTTTTTCTCTCTTTCTCGTTGTACTCTTTCTTTCTCTCTTTCTTTCTTTTTTTCTCTTTCTTTCTCTCTTTCTTTTTCTCTCTCTCTTTTTTTCCTCTCTCTCTCTCTCTCTATCTCTATCTATCTATTTCTGTCTGGTCTATATTCCATTTCCCCTCTCCATCAATATCTGCCTCGTTTCAGATGCTGGCCATGCGGGCTGATGTTTTCTTAATAGCTGAATCGCTGGAGAGTGCGGATTTATTTGTCATTTTTCAGTATTAAGAGGTTTTTTTTTCTCTCTATCGTTTGGGTTTTCTGATGGAAGGCATGGAATTAAGTTTCTTAATTGCTGTTCATGAAAAGAAAAATTTTTCAATTTAGATACATTCGCGCAATTACAAGAAAGGCTATTTAGTAGTCATTATTCATCATTAAATGACACGCTCGAACAATTACACGCACGCACGCACACACACACACACAACACATACACATACAAACATACAAACCAACACAAACACACACATAAACACAAACTGACACACACAATTGTGCACAAGCAAACAAACACACACAAGCACAACCATTTTGACAACAGCACACATCCCAGCATCAACAGCCGAAGAAATTTAAACGCTTGAAAGGCGCGATTTTAACATCTACAAAAAATTTTTTCGCCCTAAAATCAGCTCCATAAACAAGAAAATTTAACTTCTGTATAGAGCTCACTTGCATGTTGCAGTCCCATTTCTACGGTTTTATCGTTTCGTATCGGTATAGTTTCGAAACATGCTGCATCGTTTTCGTCTAATAAACATACTAGGGCATAATCAAACTGTTTATTATAGGCTTTCATTTCGTTTCGTTTCATTCCATGGCATTCCATTTCGTTTCCTTTTATTGCATTTCACTTTATTCTATTCCGTTCCGTTTTGTTTCGTTTCGCTTCATTTCATTCCTTTCCATTCCATTCCATTTTATTTCGTTTTATTTCATCCCACTCCTTTCCATTCCATTCCGTTTTGTTTTGTTTTATCCAATCCCATTCCATCCCATTCCATCCCGTTTCGTTTCAACCCATTCCATCCCATCCCGTTTCGTTTCATTTCGTTTCGAAACAGATTAGTGAAAAAAGGCTGCAAATTCGGCACGGCCCAGTTCGGCTGCGAAACGATGAAGGCGATTATCGACAGAGAGAACTACGACAGGGTCAACAACAAATTCTACGGAGCCGGTATAGGAATAATTACGAATAATTAAAATATTAAAATTAATTATTAAAATATTATTGCTATATTTTCGATAATTATTAATGTTATCATTTTTTTTATTGCTGTTATTGGTACTTCTATTGCGACTACTACTGCTACCACTACTACTACTACCTCCACTACTACTACTACTACTACTACTACAGCTGCTACTACTACTACTACTGCTGCTACTACTATTACTACTACTACTACTACTACTACTACTACTACTACTACTGCTACCACTATTACTACTACTACTACTTCTTTAACACGTCTGAACCAAAGATTATAAATTAGTGGTACCCCATTATTGAATCATTTTTTTTAAATAAATTTTTAATAATAAAATGAGCAATAGATAATAATAATAATAATAATAACTTGAAGGTAAGAAGAGAAAGAGAGCCGCAGAATTGAATTGAAAACTTTTTAGTGGAAGAAAAGAAGAACTAACGAAGAAATTAAATACATAAATGAACGAATGAATGAATGAAAGAACAGATGAATGAAATAATTAATTCTTCCCATATTTATAACTTAACCTGCTGTGCTGGCATACTTTCCTTATAATAAAAAAAAATTATTTCACTACAGAATGAGTTTAATTTATAATATTTACAAATGGTACTAATAATTATTAAAATTGAAAATTTTTGTCTTGTCTGGTAGTGGCCTATCCAGAATTGTCCTGGGGGGTGGCAAAACTCCATTTCAGCACCCCCATTCCTAAATTTGCCACAGAAGCTGATATATTAAGATGATTATTATTGTACACAGATAACGCTGATGAAGTTATTTGATTTCAGAAATATATACCAGATGTATATGTATAATATACATATTCCATTATACGTTTATGTTTGTGTGTACTTATAATAAAGGAATATTTTACTGTTGAAACGAATAAATTAGTTTGTTGCATTTTACGGAAAAAAAGTATATTTCGTGGCTTTGTTTTTTGTATTTTTGTTGATGTGAGGAGTATTATCGACTGATTGATGTCTCGAGATGTTTGGAGATATAAGAAGTAGCTAGTTTCAT